CAAAATGTAAAAGTATAATTTTTATCTGTAATACCAGGTATTTTTGTAAGCAAAGCGAATGAGTCTCACACAGAATAGCTTTTCACGCCATCACCCATTCCTCCCTCAGCTTTTTTTTTTCAGAGGGTAATCTATAGAATCAGATTGGGATAAGGAGCTTGTATGTATTTTCCCAATGATATTTTAACAATTTATTTCCTCCCTCCTCAAAAGTCCTACAAGCCAAATTGGCCTAGTGGAGCTTGACCGAGCTTGACAGCCTTCCTCTGGTTTTGATACAGGGGAGAGATCGGGAGGAAAAGGAGTGATTAAAAAGAGGTTGGGAGGACTTTTCTCCTCTTTTCTGATGCTAATGAAAGAAGGAATGGTTTTCCAGCTTTTAGCTTGCAGAGTGTGTCTCCCCTGCAGCATGCTCCGCTGCCTGGACATTGTGGGAGGACAAAACTCCAGGCCCTGGATCCAATAACGTGAAATTTCAGCAGAGAAGCGGCCATTGTGTATAGAGAGGCAACCGGGGAGGGGTTGGGTAGAAGGGGGAGACGGAGCGAAGGAAAGGGAGGGTGACTTGGCAAGCACCCAGGGCTCAGGCCACATCCTTTCTCTTTCTCCTCTCCTCCTACACTCTTCCTCTTCCTTCTCCTTATTCTCCTCTCCTTCCCTTATTCTCCTCCTCCTGTCTTTCTGTCTTTTCAGTGTCCTTCCCCCCCCCCCCCTCCCTTCCTCTCTACTCCACTCCCCTTTGGGATGGGAAGCCCTAGGCTGAGACAGGAGCAGAGCATGATGGTATGCTGGAGCTCAGCAAGCCATGTGCTGGAGCAGCGGACAAGCAGCCACTTTGTCCACTTAGGAAATGGTTGTCCCAGGATCCCCCTTCTCCACTACACACTGGGGAAGGCAGTCTCCAGGCCCAGCCCTGCCTGGTCTGCATGTGCTCCTCCATCACGCCTTCTATTTTGACAGTTTTATTTCAGGCGGAATCTAAATTCCAGCTTAAATCACAGTGCCTTGTTTGCTTCCTGCTTTCTCTGTAAAGGATATTTGAAATAATAAGATATTATTAATTCCTTCATTGTGAATCAAAAAGGCCATAGTCTGTCACCTTGGTTTCCACTCTGTTCCTGTCCACTGCCTCCTCCCCCTTCAGTCCTTCTAGCAAGCCTCTCTCTGTTTTTCTCTCCTGCTTTTTGGTCGGAAATGAAGTCAGTCATCCAGCAGAATAACTTGGAATAATTTGGAATGGGGGGCTCCTTTCTCTCCAGCTCTCCCTCCTCCTTCCCCCATCTCTCTCCTACTTGCAAGGCCCAGGCCAGCTGATCTGCTTCCGCTCTCAATTGTGTGTCCAGTCAACTGTGGGCTCCTAGCAAAAGACGTGGAGCCCAGCCTTTGTCTTCACCATCTCGCTCTGAACTCTCTCTCTCTCTCTGTGTGTGTGTGTGTGTGTGTGTTGCAGCAGGTTGCACTCAGATATTTTTGTTGACCGCTTACTGTTTTTATTATAAGAAAGGAAAAAATCTTTTCTATCAGGAAGAAGAAGAGGAGCAGGTGGAACCTTTTGTTCTCCATGTATAAAGATTTTGGTAAATGGATTTAGTTTACTTGTTTGGTGTTGGTTTAGTGTAGTAGTTGGTCTTCAAAGGTGTACTTTTGAGAGTTGATTTATTGGTTTCTTTGCAGTTTTACTAAAGTAATGGTCAGTATTTTTTTAGGTATATGTGGATGTTTTAAGCTAGATGCAACACTGCATGTATACACAGTCCACTTAACTTCCTCTCTGGGCCCAGCCCCCTCCCTGTGAGTGTCATAGCTGCTGGCATGTGTGTGATGGTTGGTCTGAAGGGTCAGGCCCTGGTCATTGTGCTCTGGTCATGGCTGAGCGACACCACCGCCTGCCTTCTGTTCACCCCAGGGACCCCTGCCTGACTGACAGCCCCTCCTGCACCCATCACCAGCATCCTTATAGGGGGCCATAGTGGGGTGTAACAGCAGTAGTGTTTCTCTCTTTTATTGCCTGTTATACTGCTCAAAATGCATTTTTCTGCTGTGGCAGGTGTTCTTGTGTATAGTTAAGCACTACTTCAGCAGCACTGTTATGAGGTGCAACCAGAAAGGGTGTTGCTTGGAGGTTGAAAGGGGAAAGTCAGTCGTGCTTGTAGTTTTGTGGCAGTTTCCCATGACCAGTTGTTGCTGTGTGAGCTTAGGGCAGCATGTGAGAGAGAAAACAATTACAATTGCAATATAAATACAACAGGCTTAATAGGAAATGTATAATATTGGTAATTTAATAATCCCTGTATCTGTTATTGTCCACCATTACAAGTTATTATTTATGTATGTAAAATAGTTCATTATCTTTGGAACAGTTCGCTTATTAAGTGGCATAAAAATCACAGCAATGTTTGAAAATGTCCCTGGAATTATAGCAGTTATAGTTAACAAAGTAATAGTCTTCTAATGTTGTTCAATTTTGGTTGCATATTGAATCCTGCTGAGAATGTTGTTAAGTGTTCTGTTTACCTGGTCCAGGTATGTAGGACTTAGAAATGTGGAAATTGATTGGCTGGGAATTAACAAACCATGTAATATTTGGTAGCTTTTTTATAACACAATAACTGATTAAAAATCAGAACCTTTGGCTAGACTTTAACCTGCAATAGCTGATTTTTCTAGTCACTTGGGCACAATCAGAAAGTTGTAAACACAACACTGAGCAGGTTCAGTCTTTTTTTTTGTGCTGAAAGCTGCTGTCTGCTCTGGCTGACACTGAGAGCAGTGAAGCTGAGGGTCAGACAGTGAACTGAACCTTGGCTAGGTAAGAGAGCCTAGGCTATGTAAAACTGAAGGGAGCTTCAGTCTTTCATCACTGTAATATTGATTATAGCCACTTTAAAGGGGTAATGATGTTCAGTATTGTACATAATGTATGCATAAAACCTGGCTTTTGAAATTCAGTATATTGATGAATTGCTGAAGTACATTTGCTTTTAGTCTTGAAAAGAATTGTGTGTTTGAACAGACTAGATTTGGCAAGAATTAAGTGTGTGGTTGTCAAAAAAAAACAATCTTTTGCCAGTTGGTTTATTTTTGACTTACCCATATTTATCATGTGCATCAATCTTTCGAGGTAACTTTGGTCAACTATTATATCAGGTGCCAAGATAACAAAGCTTTTACGTAAAGAAAAAAATAGCTTCAGATTTAATGCTCACTGACTCTTAGATGAATTACTAACAAATAACATGGGCACTGAGGTTTGCCAAGGGTGTGGAAGACAGGAGACCAAAGGTTAGCCTTGTTGAGTAGACCAAGATGTAGAGACAAGAGGCAGTAAAAGGGAGGATGCAGCCATTTTCTTTTCTTTGACGCAGGAGCCAGTAGTTGACTATATTGCATGTTGTCAGTCAGTGACACAGTTTCATATTTGGCCACTGTCAGAGATGGAATTCTTTACAAAGTGTTTGAGACTCTGTTACGTCATTGAGTAATGTGTCACGCTAAGACATCCGGCAGTCACATTCTTTATTCTCTTTACCTGTCTCTTTCAGCTCTCAGATCATTCTCAGTCTTTAATTTGTTACCAGGAGTTCCTCAGCACACCCTGACCTTTGTTATTTCCGGTGGCTCAGTGCAGTCTGTTATCTAATCAGGGAAATATCTAACTTTGGGTGAAGGGACAGAGAAAACCAAAGGAGGTGGGGAAGGAGAGAAATGGATTGAAGAACAGATAAATGTTAAATTTGTACTGCTTATTTGGCATTGTTTGCACTGTTTGTGCTGTTAGTACTGCTTATTTTGTTATACTAGCCTTATGTTGGTTTACTGTTTATTTGCCCCTTGCGCATTGAGAGCCGCTCTGCCAGAGTCAAATTCCTCCTGTGTCCGACACACCTGGCCAGTAAAGCTGATTCTGTTTGATTCTTAATTTTTATCTATAGTATCCCAATATGTTGCGATACAGTAATACATTTTTGGAATATTTGCGCCATTATAACAAAACATTCAGATGTGATAGTGTGGTAGAGCTGTTTCCTTTATTTACAGACTTTTTTAGATTTTGGATTATTGTATCGTATGGCAGTTGAGGCAATTTCCAATCTGGGGTTCATTGACATTTGAATGATGATGCATCTGTTTTGTCTGAAAAAAACCTGAAGCTCTGTGCATTATTGTACACACTGCCTCACATCAGCTCTCTGTGAACATTTGAAACTTAAAGCTTATGTTTTTCTTCAGTTCCATAGATGTTAGGCTATATACTATATTATAATGTATTACCCTAAGGACTAAGACAATCAACAGCATTTGCATGGGAATTCAAAGCGAAAGAGGGCGATGTGAGGTGAAGCCCCCTGCATTATAGTTTAGTTTGGAACTACCTGATTTAGAGCAGAGTCCAGAGCCTGAACTTGGTCGCATGGTCACTCACCCTCCTGTTGTGGTTAAATGTACACTGACAGCTTCAGACTTTAGAAAGCATAGCCTGTATTCTGTTACAAGACACACTAATACCAAAATATACATTTAATCCAAATCTCAATCTTTAACTTTGCCCCTTCACTTTCTATTTTTAGATTTGTTGCAGATTTTAGGCCAGCTTGTTACTAGTAATGGCTTATACCACATCCCAGCTTGGCCCATAGTTTCATTTGTTTTAATTAATGTCTCTATCTAGTGTGATGTGGCCTGTGTTGAACTTTCAGTATAGTCTGTACAGCGTGTTCCTCACTACTCTGTTACCAGCCATTTTGTGCAGGCTACATGTACTGTGCTACAACTTGTTTATGCCGTGGATCAACTGTACGTGGGTTGATATTTGATGCAGGCTGTGTGGTTCTACTGGCTGTTTTAGCAGTCCTGGTGATAAAAGGCCCTCAATGAAAAGACCACGACTGAAAAATATTAGATACAAATTTTGTTCACTAACAGCATTGTTTTTCTTGTCTTCTTCCTGTGTTGTCTTATTCCTTCCACCCTCCTCATCTTCCTCCCTTCCTCCTCCACAGTGACAGTTATGCGCGTGTGAGAGCAGTGGTCATGACTCGGGATGACTCCAGCGGAGGGTGGCTTCCCCTGGGGGGTGGAGGCCTCAGCTGTGTCACCGTATATAAGGTCAACCGGGCAGAGGACAACAGCAGCACCCACAGTGGAAGCAGCGGATCTCAGCCCCTGTAGCCTCAGTCCCAGCCCCAGCCCCAGTCCAAGCCCCAGTCCCAGCCCCACCTCTGTGGAGTTCCACATCAAGGGCGAGAGGCTCAAAGACAAATTGGTAAAGAAACCACTTGCTCACATATGTGAATAGTGTCTTTATACACTACACTGCATACAGTCATATACCTACTATACAAGTAACTAGCTAGCTGTTGCCTTTGTTCTCTCTGTTATGTTGTCATTTTTTCTCTTTCATGCACATTCAGGTATATAAATCAGAGCTGGTGTGTTTTCTTGGATGGGGTCACCATGAGCCCTCCTTTACCACACTCCCTTCTCTCTGTCTCATTCACTCATATATACACACACACACACACACACACAGGAAGGGGTTGTTTAGCTTTCCTCCATGGCGCAGGTATCTGAAAATAGGAGCGAACTGCGTGATGCTGTGATGCATGATGACATCATCAGGGAGAAGGGCAGATTACTCAGGAGAGGAGAATGTGTCTCCCACATCCCTCATCCCACAAAGACCCTGAAAGGGACCTAAAGGATGGATTAGGGGCTGGAAATTCACACTTCGGTTTTTAATGAGTACACAAGTATTTGCCTACCGTTTACATTACACGTAAACTAAAAGGAAATGCTTATAAAGATTGTATATGTCAGTAAATCGAGCCAGGAAAATGCTCCTGATTAATTTAACAATTAAAAAATCCCAAATGTGTACATGTGTAAAGCATTCTGTATGGTTAATATAGTAAAACTGATTGATATTTTGGTCTATAATCTATTCAAGAAATTTAAAATTAAATTTTTAAGATTGTACATTACATTTTAAAATTAGCAGAAATCATTTAGTTAAAAAAGCTGTGATTTTGTACTATGGCTGCACCTAACAGAAGATGAATCAATATTTTCATTATTGATGAATCTACTAATTATTTGTCATTTTCTAGTAAGAAATTGTTGGAACAAGCTTCACAGCTTTGTCATTTATTTTGTCCCAAATCCAAAAATACTCACTTAATTATCTTGAGCCAAAGAAAAGCCACAGATCTCACATTTGAGAAACTGGAGGCAGCGAATGTTTGACATTTTGTCAGAAAAATTATTCAACAGCTACAGATTCATTTTAATTTTCTGTCAGTCAGCTAGTCAGTCAATTGATTAATCCTTTCAGTCTTAGTGTAAAGTGTACAGACTAGGCATTGTCGTACTCCCAGCTGCATTGTAATTTTTCATCCCAGTTTCTCTGTAGTCATTGTACACTGGCCGGCCACTGTAATAGTCACACCTGTACAATTATATGCACTAAGGTGCAACACTTCTACCTAAACGTCTGTATTTATGAAGCTCAAAATGTTTGTTTTTGGTAAAATTGCATAAATGTTTAAATTAATTATATTATCCATTATATTCAGAGGCGGCACCACAGGTGGCTGCCTCGGTTCTGTACCGGAAACACATTCCTTGTGTGTAACATACTTGGCCAAATAAAGGTGATTATTATATTCTGACCCTCTCATGTATGTAGCTGGGGAGGATAAAAATATAGAGATATAGTCTGGTGGCTCCCAATGATCCAACATTAAGACGTTTTACAGCAAGGCGTCTAAATCACCTGTTTTTGAGTTTGTATTTACTGCGCGTTTGTATTTTACACACTGTTATCCAGGCATTTGGGTGGCACAGGAAAGGTGTGACCGGAAAGCTGTTGTTCCGATAGGATATAGACATGGCTCAGAGACCTCGGCAACTGTTTTGGGATGTGGTAAAACACTCCTCTATCAGCACAAGTGTCTACCCCCAGCCACCACAACAAACACCCATCCATATGTAGGTCTGTCGGGATGCTGCCCAGTGCCAGGGTACTGGTGTCAGCCACAGCGCTACTGACAGTCTGAATAAGAGAGTGATGAGCCTCTCCCAGAACACAACAGTGGCAGAAAAAAACCACATAAGAATATGTTAGCTAAAGTCAGAAAAAATGCAGGACAGTAGTACTTGTTACCACAGTACTGTTTAAAACAGCAATGTCACAAAAGATTATAATTATGTTGTACGAATGAGGCTGAAGACCGGAAAGAGATCTACGGCAGAGCTCCTGAATGTTTGAAAGGCTGGTAGTTTTGAGTTGTATAAAACACAGAAAAAGAAAATGCTCTTTGTTTGTGCATGTGTGTGTGTGTGTGTGTGTGTGTGTATATTTTTCCGGGTGTTATAATTTCCATGTTTTAGTTCAGTCACAACTTGACAGAAAAGAAAAGCACAATGACATCTCCCATCCCTGACAGGCACCTGAGCTAGGCTGAGGAACACAGCTAATAGATGCAGTGGTTTTGAAATCAAAAAGGCACCATGTCAGCTGATCAGGTCACATAAGATGTGAGACGAATCAGGAAAAGTAGTAGTTGAAGAGCAGGAAACAGAGGTGGAGCCAGATAGACCGGAGATAGAGGGGATCTGTCTATAAGCGCAGTGATGCGGCACAAAGTGTACTAGTGATGACTCAGCTGGCTCTCCATATAGCTACCAATCACTCTCCTCCTTGCCCTACTGCCCCCCATCCCCCCCTCACTCTGATTCTCTGACTCTCTTAAAATACAGATCTAATTGGCTGATGATTACTTACCATACTGGTTCTCAGATTATGACAGATCTCTTCCTAGCTCTCTGCCACTCCACCTCGCTTCCTGCAGTTCATAGTCTGTGACTCTCTCTGATTCATGCAGCTATGAATGTGATGTATGTAGACCAGGCTTAATCTGGGGCAAGGTCCCATTAGGCAAAGCTGTTTGTTACTACTGTTAACCTTGTCATCAATTGATTGCGTTGGCTTCAAGTCTTAGGTGTGGGGAAAAATGTGTATCCACTTTAACCAATGCCTGGTGCTAAGCCTTCAAAGCTCAGTGCTTAAACATTATTGCATACCAACTTGTGTGCTCTTGTATCTATATTTTTGATACATCAGTACCTTGAAAATTATTTTTATAGGATCAAAACAATCTTTTTCCAAGGTCATTATGATAATAATATATAGTATCCCTTTACTGCAAAGATTTTTATAGAACTGTCTTGAAATGATTATCTGGTTGTAATTTTAGTTCTGATGGCAAAGGCAGTATTCATAGATTGTAGCCTGATTCCCCCTCCGGTTTCTTGTATGCTTGTCAGCTCAGTCTGTCTG